CTTAATCAGGAAAATAAACTCTAAAGCAACGTTAAACTTGTACGTGTTTGTAGACTCTTTTCATCATGACGTACATCCGTGCAGCATGTAGTCTGGTTCCTTAGACCTGACAATTATTCTCGGCGCTCATATCACGTCTGGTCTGGGAGCCAGACTATGCAGCGTGAATATACAGTGCTCACGCGCGATTTGCTTAGTAACCACACTCATACGCGCGCGCACTTACTTGAAGGCGCGGTCGCTAATCCAATGACCGAGCGTGTTTTCGCGCCAGTTACCAGAAACATGTTTCGGCTTTGGTCATTGGTTGAGCGTTTTCGTGACGTCTGTTGGCTGGAGTGACGTCACTGTTCCAACCAAAACTAAACAAATGAGGGCGCTAGTGTGCTTTCGTGCCCACGTACATGACGTATGACTCGGGAATAAAACTGATGAAAAGAGACTACAAACACGTACAAGTTTAACTTTGCTTTAGAGTTTATTTTCCTGATTAATGTCGGTCAGCATCACATATGGAATTCCTGAACCCCTGGATCAATAGAGAAGGACACATAGAAAATGTAGGAGAGGTTCAGCGCAGCATACCGCGGCCACACTAGTGGGGCTACAGGGCAGCATACCGCGGCCACACTAGTCATGCTAGTGGGGCTAGGCTAAGCCTATCCCAACTTTGCCACCACGTCTTCTTACGTATGTCTTAAGCGAGAGTGTCTTTACTACTAGTACTAATATTATGGCTATGAAAGATACTTACCAAACTATCCCAAATTTGCCGCCACGCCTTTGAAGAATATCGTGTGAGAAAAACATGGTGCCGCACTGTTATATCATGTATACAATTACAACACTTCATTCGTCTCAACTCCATCCACTGCCGGTGCCTAGCTGGACTGTTCTCGTAGTACTGCAGCGCAGCTAGCGCTAGCTAGCTCTAGTATACAAATATTGAGTGGCTCAGCGTGCGCGTGGAATTGGGAGGAATATTATCGCAAGGTAAAATCTGGACTTTTTCATTTCACGAGGCGAAGCCGAGTGAACTGGAAAAGTCCAGATTTTACCGAGCGATAATATTCCTCTCATTTCACAATTTAAAGCCACTCAATATTTGTTTTATATAACTGACATATAGATCCTTGTCATTTGAAATATTTGAACGGTTTTTTTTCAATACAAAACTGGAGGAAAATGTATTTCTCTCTTCCAAACCACCCCTTCACGAAAATGTTTGAACCCAACGCTGTAGCGCTCACGTATGTTTCAGCCGCTCATTTAGTTTGCGTGCATGCGCACTCAAAATATGAAATACTGATAATCAGCAAACATGGATGCCTGCGGTCGCAGTTTGACCAACTGAAGTATCGGTCAACATCACGCTTGAAGAACTTTGATAAATTTTTCTTTCCACGTGGACAGGAATTTAAGGCAATCAAAGTCACTTTTGCAAACCTTAGCGCAAAAAAACAGAGAGTATTTGATGCATTTTTTTTGTTTTTCCGTGTCGTGTAGTACGAAAATATTGGGTCACGAATTCAAAACAGGCGACAGTTTAGGGGATAATTTTTCAGTTTTGCCGAGTAATTGTAAACTTGTCTTCACTGAAAAATGGTAAAAGATGCCATGGAAAGTGCGATGTTTAAATATCATTTAAGTCGGAAACCGTTTCAATGAGAAAAGTAAGGTCTCACGTTATACGTTTTTACGTTGAATGTAACGTTAGTGTGCACGTAGCTGTACACAGACCCAGCGGGAATCTGGCCCGTAAACGGCTAGCCACGCGCCGCGCGCGGCGCTCCGTTTGTAATCTTTCGACGCGTTGGCAAATAAATATATACATTTAACTGAAACGATTTACAACTGACTGGTTCCCGCCCCTGAAATGCAAGTACGATCACAGAGGGCACTGGGACCAGTGTATTTGTGCACGAAGCTTTCAAAATGGGTTTACTCGAAAAATGACGATTTTTATAAGCTACAGGTTTCCTTCTTACATCAAATCACCTGTAAAATGATAATAATCTATCATCCTTGCCGATGGTACTACGGCTGATCTAAGGTAAACCCGGAAAATTGTCAAAATGTGTAAACCAAAGTCAAAAGCGAAAGATTTTTTTCCTTTTCATTTTGTACGTTTTTTGTCCATAATTATTGTTTTTTTTATATTTTAAAAGGTTTTTAGCGCCGTTACCACACTGTAGAGACAATTTATATCTTTGTTCACTTGGTCTACTGATAATTTTTGGTTTGAATCATCTTTTAAGTACGTTTGAGAAGGATACATTTTAAGACATGAAAACCAGACAATCGTTCAGTGCGTCGTCTGCTACCGCTCTTTGCAAGCCGACGAAGCGGAGGAAACCATTGCGCATGCGTGAGAAGACGAACTAAATGCACGCACGGTCTATGGGGCTGAAACATACGTGCGCTGGCTCTTTGGAACAATACGCGCTACGCGCAACGCTGAACGCGCTCACCAGCATGCATTTGCACACAAATACAGCGTCATGATCACTGATCTCTATATAAAGACTGGATAGCGGATATGCATACAACATTCACACAGTAGACTTCGCACATTGACCAATTCGCCCCCGGTCTCACGAAGATGGCCGCGTATAATACGAACGTTCTACGCGTAAATACGCGCGCGTTGTATCAACAGTTGACGCGCATTTTGGTCACGTACACATATTATGATGTTCTAAAAGGGACACATTTCCGTAGTGATTATTATTTCAAAACGCCGAAAAAGTTATATTTGCGGCATTTTAGTAACCACGACGTTAGAAAAATTGTAGTTAACCTTGATCAGTGATGGTGGTCAAAATATAAGTCAAGTGAACCGCGACGTTACAAAAGAAATCATGCTGTCTATAAAAACGGCAACATGTCCTTTGTAGATCACCAGCCGGTCTCACCAATATGGCGTCAAATTCGTACATTGTGCGGCTCTGTATTAGCTATCCAGTCTTTATATAGAGATCAGTGGTCATGATCCTAACTGTTGAATAGTATTTCCCATTCCCCATGTAGTATAGTATACAAATATTGAATGATTCGAGTGGTGTAGTAAAACTTTATTTGCAGTACAATCTGGTCTTGAACTACTGTCAGCAGCTTCAACAATTCGTGACTTGGAAAGAGAAAATGCAGTTTTGAAGAAGGATCTTGCTGCCAAGGTGTTGGAGCTGCATGAGGGGGAGAAAACCGTGAACAGGCCATCATCAAGTAAGCCATCAGGCAAGTGTTTCAACTGTGAACCTTTCAGTGTTGAGACTGTTTTGAAATCTAATGTTAAGGATCTTCTTAAATACTACACAGGGTTCCAACACACAACTTTCACTGTGTTGTTTGAGTTCCTCATTCCTGATGTCAAAAGGAATCCCCTAGAGTACAAAGAAAGAAAATCAGCATGCATGAAATTGCCTTTGAAAGACCAGCTGTTCTTAGTTTTGTGTAGATTGCGGAATGGATTCCATTTGAAGGATCTTGCTTTCAGGTTCCATGTTAGTATTCAGATTGCTAGCATTATTTTTAATACTTGGATCAGGTATATGTACTTAAGGCTGGGCTGTCTGTCATTGTGGCCACACAGAGATGTCCTGATTGAGCGCATGCCCAAGAGGTTTAGAGAAGAATTTCCCACAACACTTGTCATCATGGATTGCACAGAGCTTAAATGTGAAAGGCCGACTTCTCTCAAAACTCAGTCACAGTGTTACTCCGAGTACAAATCTAGCCCTACCCTGAAAGCTTTGGTTGTCACAGATCCCTCTGGCTCTTTCATGTTTACAACTAGTCTTTTCACTGGGTCTATATCTTATAATGAATTATTCCAGAAAGGTCATGTTTTCCAACTCCTTCAAGATTTGATTAAAGATGGGAAAGTCCAGGTCGGTGATGGAGTCATGGTCGATAAAGGTTTTCGAATTGATGAGGAGGTAAGAAAAATTGGTCTGGAATTGAACATGCCTCCATTAGCTTCCATGTCTTCACAAATGAAACCAACCGATGTCATGCTTACCAGAAAAATTGCCAGTCACCGGGTACATATTGAGAGAGCAATCCAAAGAATCAAGAGTTTCAAGTTAGTTGCCAGGACAATTCCAGTAAGTATATTTGGGAATATTAATGAGATATGGTTGGTGTGCTGCTATTTGACAACCTTTCAGGATGTTTTAGTGAAGGAAGAGTAATTTACATGTGTCCAAGGTTGGCATCAATTTATTCAACTATCTCCATTAAATATAACTGCTTAATCACTTGTTAAAGGGAATATGCAACATTTGCTTTAGCTGTATATTACTATTCGGAAAAGGATTGATTTGGGGGCTAGTATTTCATATTAATAATTTACAGCGAAGTCTGGTTCTCTGACCCAACTTCAGTTGAAAAAGAGCAATTTTGTTTGCAAATGTTGTATGTTGCCTAATTAGCTGTTTCCAATTTCAATTGGGAACAGCTATTGTTTTCGTTAAGAATCCCCCCCCCCCCCCCTTCTTTTCTTCTTCCACTTTTTCCCCATAGGTTTAACACACGTTTTTTGTACAATCCACTTTGGCAACTTTTTTCTATCCGATCAATTTTATAATTACACTATTAACCATTATCTGAAGTTGTGTGACATCCATTTAAATGTCCGTTTTTTACAGTCCTATAACTATAAAACTGTTAGACTAATTGGTCTCAAACTTTGTAGTTGTAGAGACAGGGAAGTGTCATAGATGAAAAATCATGATATCATGACGTCATCATGATATCATATGTTATGTAATAGTGACTTGAAATATATAGGCCTAGACCTATATCTTGAGATCTGTCTAGTTGTTTGGCCTGAAATGCTGCATGTGTAGTTATACATTCTAAAGTTATATTTATTTGTAAGGTACAGTGACGATAAATGTCATAATTCTCTTGTTGTGACGTCATGAATATTTAATGAGGCAATTTTGTTGCCACCATATCTCAACAGTACAGTAAGCTATGATTCCATTTTTTTGCACGTTGCATTATACTGGTCTGAAAGTGTGTCAGCTGCAATTTCAAGGTCATGTGACCCTTACGTTGTTTTTCAAAAGAATACCTGATAATTCAGACTTGATCTCCTCTGAACTTGTCCTAGGGGCGTATCAGACAGTTCAGCATCCTCGTGAAGGAGGTAGTTTAGTGGTGTGTTTGCTAGGGCCTTCAGTTGCTTGATTTCACCACAAGTAGGCAGCAACACACTGGAAAAAGTGGGGGGAAAGAGATAATAAAAATGTTCGATCAATTCAAGTCATCGCAAAATTAACCTGAAGAAAACAAAAACAGTTTTAAGATATATTATGTGCAATGCTCCAGGAAGTTTGGATCCAGGGCTGTAGAAAAGGGAAAAAATTAAACCAGCTAAATTATGATACATTTTACATTTGTATTGAATTTTCAATCTGAAAATGCTGTTGGACGAATAGATTGCCAAAAGAAAATGTCTGGGCTGTTGGAATTGCTTAGTTGGATAAACTGTTTGTAGTGTCCTTGACACTGTTTTTAAACTGAACCAGCATTATTTTAATTAAACAAGTTGGAACCAGCATTAGTTTAATTAAACGAGTTGGATACTTGATTTTTTAACTTTGATTTAGACACCTTTTTTTCAAATATTGCCTTTTAAGTAGGTTCACACAAACGTTCATTAGTACACTACCTTTGCTTAGTCACTTTTGCTGCAACAGGCTGCCTCTTTCTTGTTTTCTTTGGCTTTGCCATGACCAAGCCTGCCACAGATTGGGGTCGAATTTTACACCCACAGGGTTTGTGCCATTGCTGTGGCAGGCTTGTACATGACAATTGCCCCGGAATTTCCTTCAGCCCCAGGTCCTGGTAGTGCCTCAGGGTGTAAATCAGTGCTATGATGTGGGCACAAGTACCTGACAACCTGTCAAATAATAGAATTCATAGAAAAAAGATGTACCGGTATATTAGAAATGCAAATTATTGTCTTTCATAGTAAAATAGAAATTTGAAATGTCAATCTTTAAATATTCTGAACTTTTCCCTATAAATTAAAGAGAAGTGCTTTTTAACATTATTGCAGTCAGTGTGAATTAAGTTTGTTTTAAGAATGTAAAAACAGTTAAACTGTCTTTTACATCTGAGGAAAACTGAAATCAAACCACAATTTGTAGCCAAGATAGGGAAACACCTTTGAAAACTTTGCTGTAAATTTACAGAATTTCGTTTCTTTTGGCACTTTACAATGGCAGTTTACAATGTAACTGTATGAGAACAAACCCTCTATTTTGGGAGCAATATTTATTTATATTAAAGTAATTATCAAAAGCGAGAAGGTACAGATTTGTATTTATTGTCATAAATTTAAAGAAATTTTTTTTTGCAGTTTATGTCGTCTCAATAAATGTATGAGACAACTCTATTTTTTTTTTTTTGCAATATGATATTACATGCAAAAATTTAATTCCCAATCCAAAACGAGAAGGGACAGCTTGGTATTTATGTTGATTAATATAGATTATATTGATTGTACAAACTTATTATTATTATTAATCCAAACTAAGATATGAAAAGGAAATATAAATAATATATATCAGAACAGTTAAATTTGGCTCCTGTGTCTGTTTTGTACAGTGGATCTGAGTGTCTCCATGACAATTACTAAGCACTTTTTAAATTAAATCCTTCACTCTGTTCGAAGTCCATAAACAATAGTGTTGTACATGTTGGTCTCGAGACTGGTCTTTCTCAGATTTTGCTGGTCTCAGTCTCAGACATTTTAGGCCTCAATATTTTGCTGGCCTCGAGATGAATACTACCAATAGACAGCATTTGCAGTAGAATCACTATTGCTTTTAGACAACTAAAAGCCTGTGCAGTGTGTACAATATTTTGAAACTCTTTTAACTCTAAAGTGTGATATCAACTTGTAGTAAAAATTCCCATGAACCTTAAACAATCTGAAAGTGGCAACAAAAATCCTGCCTATCTTTGTGTTACATTGCTACTCACACAAAAATATTTATGAGACATAGAATGATAGAAGACCCTTCTGATTATTTTTGGCTTGTAATAGGCCTATGCCATATATGAAAAGATCATTTTTAAGACTTGAACAATTAGGCCTATTGGCATAAATAAGAGCTTACACTGAAACAAAAGAAATAGACCAACGTTACACATAAGTAAAAAAAAAAGAACACTGATGAACATGATCCACTTAACATATTTTATTACGTACCCAGCTACACAGCTGCATCTACTTTCTGCTATGAGACCCTGATCTCGTCCAAAGCACACGTTCAAGGAATGCGGTGTATCGCTTTTCCGCATGCTTCTGAAGCATTTCCCTTGAACTGCCACCTCACCCTCCTTCAATAGCTCCAGCGCAATTTTATGGACATATCCATTCTTAAAGAAATTGTAGCCCCTCACTCTACTCCGTTTACTAATTTGTTCCTTTCCAAAAGAATTTAAATCTACCGCCTTTGGCAAAATATCCACTCTCGTCGTCGTCATTGTTGATGTGTGTACGGACGTACATGCGTATCGTGTGTATGTTTACTTAACTTTGACCTGAACTTGACCGAGCTAATGGCGTTGCCATGCCGTTGCTAAGGTGGGCGGGGCTTATAGCCAAAGCCGGAACGGTCCATTGAAGTTGAATCTTTTGGTGAGCTGTACAAGTTTCCCCAAATTTTGTTTTAGGTGCATAATAATAAAACAAAATTCGGGAACTAGTTTGTCAACTTCCAATACCTCGGGGAGCGAATATCGACTGTCCACCCGAAATAAACCATGTTATATTTGTGTGCAAATGCATGCTGGTGTGCGCGTTGCGCGTAGCGCGTATTATTCCAAAGAGAGCGCGCCGCAGACTTGGGTTCAAACATTTCGTAAAGGGGTAGTTTTTAAGAGAGAAATACATTTTCCACCAATTTTGTATTGAAATTGAAGTTTATTTCAGCTGTGTTCAGATTTAAATAATTTAAAATATTAAAATCAAGCAGAATCTGTGGGTGAAGTGTTATAAAACAAATATTGAATGCTCGCGGTGATCCATGGACCATTCTATTTTCCCTCGGCTTCGCCTCGGGAAAATAGAATGTCCATGGATCACCTCGGGAGGCTAGTTTTACTACACCACTCGAAGCATTCAATATTTGTATACTAGCTCTAGACGTAGACTTGATCTGCATATCATAGCGCGCGCATAGTATGCACGTGATGACACATACATGTATGTGTAACCGGGGAGAGCGGAATTTATTAGTTAAAAATGTGGCACTCTCCTTTTAACCGAGGGGTTTCACTAAAAAAAAATGATTTGGGTAGAGCGAATGTTTTCTGTAGTCTCAATAATATGAAATGTTTTATTTATAATACAAATTTGAGACAATAATTTTATATACAAATGATCAAGTACAGTATATACAAAAAGGATTATATTAGGAACTTTGGTGAGTATATAAAAACAGAACTTTGTTGGGTCTATAAAAACGACAGTCAAAAAGGGACAATAGGGTGGTGAACTGTCACTCCAAGGATGGTATCTGAAATGCATACAAACAATAAATGACTAATGAATTATGGGAATAACTTCCAGATCCAAATACAGTATTAACGATATTTAATTCAAAGAAATTTGGGAAAAACTGGTTTCCTTATTTGTAAATCAAAGAAAACTTTTTTATAAGTACATCAGTCAGTGAACAGAATGTTGCATCAAAATGACTGTTGCATAACAAGATTCAGGCATAAACAGCTTCAGTCATAAAAGAGTTAAATATCAGACAAGGGATTTACTCACCACTTGGGATGGTCTACGCTCATGCCTAATCCGTGTCCGATGTTAAAATCGATGTAGAAGCAGCAAAAATATTGTAAAATGCAATGCCGGCAACGCCGGATATAAAATTATATTGCTGCTATCGGGGAGCCGCACCCAAACTTGCAGAAAAAGTGGAGTGTGCAATGCTCGCTGTAAATGCTGGTCGCAAAGCAGGAGCAGAACCAGGCAGATAGATGTCAACCCAAAGCAGAGTTGGAACGGAATCAACAATATTTTGGACCTAGCCCTACAAGAAAAATATACCGAAACGCCCGGAATGTCAACTATTCCTCTTAAACAAAGCGCGGTGGAATGCAAAACTCGCATGCTCGCTACGCCCATCGCATAGTTGAGCAAAATTCTAGGCGGCGCGCGCTGTAAAAAAAGTTTAGTTGGCCGCGAGAGGGCCCTAGGCAAAAAGCATGATTGCAATGGCTGCTCACATGTGAATCGACACAAACACGCAATTACAAAAGTTATGAAATAATGCTGGAGTAAGGAACCAGTCGGGGAAAAGTAAGTACTGCAATCCGACCTGGTTACATATGGAACGCCAGAAAGGCATTGAAAGCTGGCTACAGTCCAAAAAGTAACTGACGTAATTATTGTTGAGAAAGATATATTGTTGATGTACCCCTAACGTGGCGCGGCCTCTAACGTGGCGCACTTTGATTTTTCGCCTGTAGCGCCCACCTAGAGCAAAATTTTAAACTGAAATTTCACAGAAAGTGAAATTTCATCAAGTTCTAAACGGTCCTGTTCATAAATCGCGAGTTTATTTACCCGTAACAAAATTAGAAGGAAAAGCTATTTTGGCGTGATTTTTCGATTTTATTTTCAAATGCAAAGTGAACCCTTTGAAAATGCCCTGAAAAATAAGAAAATAATTTTCTGACAAACTTTTGGCTGGGTATGTAAGTAAAGATATTAATTATTTATCAGAATTTATTAAGTTTACAGGAATTCGTAAGTGTTAATTTGGAATTTTCCAAGATTTATTCAAGTGCGCCACGTTAGGGAACACTCCGCCGATTTGTGCCCAATTTCCGGACACCACCGTTTTTGAATTTCGGATTAAATTTTATGAAACTGAAATTGTTCACAGAGGTAAAATAGCAAGCATTGATAAGGTCAAAGTACTAGTATTTCATTGCATGACTTTGAGGTTTGTCAACAAAGAGGTTTGGCAACACTACACGAGGAAAGTCGGGTAAGCTTCGAAGTGTGCCACGCTAGGGAACACGACTATAGGCCTACTTCGTTGGAAGATAGTAAGGTACGGGGATTAAACTTCCTGTAAAATAATTCTTTCTTGCATGCTGTCATTTTGAAAAGATCAACGAAAGATGGCCTTTCCAACGGCGGTGCGTCGTTGGAAATTTCCGTTTCATAGTAGTTCGGTTTTTTTTTATTCGGCGAAGTGCGCGCACGCTAGGGCGCTATGATCTTTGCTTTGGTTTAGTAAAACTAGCCTCCCGAGGTGCATGGACATTCTTTCCCGAGACGAATCCGAGGGAAAATAGAGTCTATTAAGCATTCATTATTTATTTTATAAAACGTTACCCACAGATTCTGCTTGGTTTTAATATTTTTCATTATTAAAATCGGAACACAATTAAAATTAAATTCAATTTCAATACAAAATTGGTGGGAACTGTATTTCTCCCTTCCAAACCACCACTTCACGAAATGTTTGAACCCACCTATTGGAGCGCTCTCTTTGGAACAATACGCGCTAGATGTTATATAACCGACACACAGATCCTTGTCATTTGATTGGTAGAACTGACATCACATGACATTCGTACGGAAGAGTAGGACATGACCGAAGAATTTCTGGCCCACTATTTCGCCCGGTGTCACGGTCTCACTTCTTCGGCGTGCTAGCTTCTCCGGGTGGATTCGGCGGATAACTGAGCACGTTACAGTGCACGTGACATAAGCACGATTCATGCCCATGTGTCCGCTGTGCTTACTTTTTCTGGAGCTGTATTCTGAAGTCTACCAAGCCCATTAACAACACAGTGAGGGATACCCAAGAATGTGTAATAGGATGAATTTTGTGCCCCCCATTTTTTCAAATTCCTAACTCCCCCAGACTTAGCTCATTCACTTTCTTAGAAGTGTGTGGGTTGCTTGGCAGCGCGTGTGGGCGGTTGGTAGCAGAACTTGCAACCAACCACAAAAGTCCTTGAGGAGGAACTGTATAAATTCGGTGGCCAGTGAACTTTCCCTTCACTTGACCACTGAACTGCAATTAACAGAGACAGGTAGTTGGAAGCACCCAGCTTCACTGTTTAAACTGTCTTCTGTAACCCTCCAACTGAACCTGCCATATTCATGTATTCATCCTCTGTCCTGCTCTAGGTGAGTTCGATAATACTTTTATCTTACATTTACTCCTAGGTTAAAGTGTTTATTCTTTACTCAAAGTTTAGACCGAGTCGTCACATGTTGTTATTATTACTATTATGTTCCTTTCATGCCATCACTGTATGTTGAGTTGAGTGTTGTTACGCTTGATAGATGAATATTAAGTTCTTGGACATTCCAACTTTGGCCACTTTCCACTTGAGAAGTTCTTACTGCAGTTGACATTTTTATTGCTTCGTTGCTGTCATTTCTTGAAGCAAGCACTATTTTCTTCTGGATGTTTGATGCATTTATTTTCACATAACTTGATTTGAGAAGTAACCATGTTCTCTGAAAGTAGAACAAATTCCAAATTGATCGATTCCCTAAATTGTTTGAGTTATCTTCGATTTTCTTTGATTGATCTGAAATTTGCCATTTTTGTACAAAAGACTTGTGGCGACTCTAGTCTAAATAAAGTGGAACTTTAATTAAGAAAGAAGAGTTTGTAGGACTACATGTACAAAAATCATGATTTATTATTACAGACATCCAATGATTATTCAGTTAACTTTTTGGCATATTCCAAAAGACAATCAGCTATCTTATTATCATTCCCAGTTACTTTTGACTAAAGTGAAAACAGGAATAATTAATTTCCTTAGTACAAATTCTGTGAATTTGTAACAGTTCTCTTTGATCATTTGACAAGTGTATTCATTTTACTTGATATATCTAGTATAGCCTTGTAAGTTTTATCCTAGTTAAGTTTGTTTCAGTAGCTAGCCTTTTTCTTTATTTTTCCTATATCCAAGTTTTCAATCTTATATATTCCTTTTTGTTTTAAGATTAATTTGATTATTCAGGATCTTGGTATTTTTCATCCTGGTCAAGTTTTACTTTCTTATTATGAGTCATTTGTATTCCTTGAATTGTTTTAAGTGTTATGATGCAACAGGTGTAACCTTGTCATGCCTGAGGCATTGGTCTTGGTATAATGTCCTTGGGGTACCTTACTCACTTCTGGGTAAGACCAACCTACGTACGCACACCAGTGGTAGAGGGCATTGACCAGCACTGGTGACTATGACAACGGTACACACAGCCTATTGTTTAAAGGGACTTTCACTTTTGCTTATTTGTAGATTCCATTTACTTAGTATTTTATGAAGTTGATATTTATATTCACTTGACCACTGAACTGCAATTAACAGAGACAGGTAGTTGGAAGCACCCAGCTTCACTGTTTAAACTGTCTTACGTAACCCTCAAACTGAACCTGCCATTTCATGTATTCATCCTATGTCCTGCTCTAGGAACAAAGGACACGAGTGCTTAACTGGACAGTTTGCATTCATCAACTGACAGCTAGAGAAGGGGTATAGACATATCCTTTTGGACCCCTTTTTCGTCCAGTTGTCTTGCTCTCACTGTTCAAAGTATTGAGAGCGTCATCAAGTCAAGTCTCCAATTCTTCCAGTTTCCCTTCATCAAGTCAAGCAAGTCCCGTCAAGTTCTGCAAGTCCCGTCAAGTTCCGTCAAGTCAAGCAAGTCCCGTCAAGTGTACAACAACGGATCAAGATAGGCCCTTTAGTCTCCCCTTTTAAATCCATTGTATTAATTGTATTGATTGTTTCGTAATTATTAGAACCCTGGGTTTTCTTTTCTTTTGTAATATAAATATTCTTTATTGAGGATATTTGTATTAGATATACAACGTTTGAAATCTTATCCCTTTTTAGCCGGAATTGAATAAAACTAACTGGTTCAAGCAAAATATACGCGTATAACCGGTAAAAATTAATTGTGTCGGCGTATAGCATTTGACTCTCATGCCCGCTACAAATGTATTATATGTAACACTTCCTGTGGGGTCAAGTCATTCCATGGTCCGTAGCATTCTGATTTGTGTTCCCAGCGTCATGTATGTGTGTGTGTTCATGGAGGAATAATTAAGAACGAACTTCTTGGTCCGTGTTCCTTGCTCGTTCGTGGTCCATTTTGTCTTTATTTTTGCAGCCACGGCCTAAAATAAATGTGCATTTCAAGTCTTTTTGGTTATTGGGAGTTGTGCACGTCACGAAAATTCTGGATTGGACTGGTACCCTGTAACCATGCATACAAATATCCTAAGATATTACGTGCACCAGTAGAACCCTGAAGCACTCAGCACGCTAATACAGTTGACGAAAATGTACACTACTGCGCAATTTTGTGCATGCGTGTTGAAGCCAAATTTCCCTTTCGGAGAAGCTAGCACGCCGGAGAAGTGAGACCGTGACACCGGGCGGATTACTATTTCGCCCGGGCGGATGACTATTTCGCCCGGGCGGATGACTATTTCGCCCGGGCGGATGACTATTTTGCCCGGGCGGATTACTATTCCGCCCGGGCGGATTACTAATTCGCCCGGGCAGACTACTAATTCGCCCGGGCGAAATAGTAATCCGCCCGGGCGAAATAGTAATTCGCCCGGGCGAATTAGTAATCCGCCCGGGCGGAATAGTAATCCGCCCGGGCGAAATGCTAATCCGCCCGGGCGAAATGCTAATCCGCCCGGGCGAAATACTAATCCGCCTGTGCGAAATAGAGAGCCGGAACTTTGGGGGGGGGAGGGGTCATGTCCAAAATACACTTCCGTATCATCCCGAGATAAATTCACAAAATATTATTCTGATCTGTGGTTTAACTATCAAATCGATATTTAGCTAAAATACTTAACAATGTTAAAATTCGATCTTAAATTTATAACGTGATCATTTCATGTTGGACAAAACTGTAACGGTGATATTTTTGCATTCCGATGAGAAATAACAAAAATCTAGAATATAATAATGAAAGAAGTGCCATCTAAAAGGAAGAAGAACTCATTGGCCGAGTTTGGGCACGGCACCGGGTATATTTTTCTTGCAAACAACGACGGATAGGTACGGTGCATGTCTGTGTATAATATGGAGCCTTTAGGAAGGAATTATCTTTGAATTCAGGATTTCTGTGATAAATTATCACGGTAACGCTGTATCGAGGAATACGTATCTTTGAATTCCGGTATGGACGGTAATTCTGTCCCCCGGTAAAAGTGTTCGGGGGGACAGAATTACCTAGGTTAAAGTGTCCCCCATGTCCCGTTAATTCTGTCCCCTCCAGTTAATTCTGTCCCCCCTGGTTTTGCACGCATTATTGTTATATTGATGTTATTATAATGAATTCAGCGCACAGGGTATACATTTTTAGATTTTTTTCACCCTTCATCAATGATTATAATGAAATTAACGTTTAGATGTTAATCAACCGATCTATGTTTCTGCAAGAAAGCAGAAAAGGCACGCGTAGTAATACTCAACCTATCGCTAGCGCTCTCCGTAGGTGCGGTACACTCGCGCGCACGCCCACCATGCAAATCGCTCGCTCCCGAAGTCGTCATCAAAACAGGAGTTGTGCTTTGACGTAAGCACCATTCCCGAATTTAGCAAGGCGCCGCGCAAAAACAGTTAATAACTTTACTAATATACAGTCTGGGTGCTAGACTTGTGACGTTGCACGGGGACACATTTACCAGGGGGGACACATTTAACGTCGTGCAGGGGGACAGATTTACCTAGAGGGGGAGAGGTTTACCTAGGTAAAAGTGTCCCCCCGGACAGATTTACCGGGTCACGACCACTGATCTCTATATAAAGACTGGATAGCTAATAGACCGCTTGCAGACGCGTTCGATAATTGACGCGCTAAGGTGAGCGACGCCATGTTATGGGACAAAATGTGCGTGAATTGATATACGCCTGTCCCACAACATGGCGTCGCGCGCCTTCGCGCGTCGATTATCGAACGCGTCTGCAAGCGGTCTATAAAGAGCCGCACAATGTACGAATTTGACGCCATATTGGTGAGACCGGCTGGTGATCTACAAAGGACAAGTTGCCGTCTTTATAGACAGCTTGATTTCTTTTGTAACGTCGCGGCTCACTTGACTTATATTTTGGCCACCACCACTGACCAACTGACCAAGGTTTACTACAATTTTTCTAACGTAGTGGTTACATTTATAATGCCGCAAAACACTTTTTCGGCGTTTTTGAAATAATAATCACTACGGAAATGTGTTCCTTTTAGAACATCATAATATGTGCACGTGACCAAAATGCGCGTCAACTGTTGATACAACGCGCGCGTATTTACGCGTAGAACGTTCGTATTATACGCGGCCATCTTCGTGAGACCGGGGGCGAATTGGTCAATATGCAAAGTCTACTGTGTGAATGTTGTATGCATATCCGCTATCCAGTCTTTATATAGAGATCAGTGGTCACGACCCGGTAAATCTGTCCGGGGGGACACATTTACCAGGGGGGACAGGATTACCTGCCACACCGGATTTCTGCGATAAATTATCACAATAATGCAGTATCGAGGAAGGATTCATCTTTGAATTCCGGATTTCTGTGATAAATTATCACGGTAACGCGGTATCGCGGAAGGCAATTCAAGCTTCCGTATGTACCCGCCGTTCGAGCGCAAGAACTTACTCGCTTCAGACCGCCCGCAGTACTGCGGGCAATAGACTGCGCAATAGTCGTAGCCTTGTTGCCATTTTGTGATTGGACAATGGACGACGTTCATTTGATGGTGTCTTCGTATCTCCAGTGCAAGTAGCTGCAAGCGCGGTCACAAAAAAGTAATGCTGCTTACGCACCTGGGATCCGTCCGCACTCAATTGGAGTGTTAAGTAATTCTTCCGGTCGCATTATCAGTCCTTTATAGATATTAGGGAGGTTTTTTTTTTTTAAATTAAAACAATGATTGAAGAGAAAAGCAGGGGTCAATTTAATACGCACAATATGTACATCAAATTAATAAATTTACATTCATAAAATATTTTTTTTAAAGAAAGCATGAATATATAGATGAATAATATAAGTTTCTTTTTAAAGAGAGAAGTAATTCTTCCATTCCCAAAGTTTATGCACAAAATTAATGTCCAACGAATCATTGCAGATAGCTTGCAATGTTCATTTAAATATCGAGATATATACACAGTAGGGTTTTGTGAAATGATTTTTCTTTTTCCCCTTTCTGTTTCATTATGTGAACGAAATGTGTCACAAAAAACCTGCAGAATCTGGCCTTGTACGATGAACATGTACATGCGGCGCCCGTACGTGTACATGGTACCATACGTACTTGCGTACATGTACTTCAACGTCGTTAATTGACCAATCACAAAATGGCAACAAGGCTACGACTATTGCGCAGTGGGTGTCGGACGGCCATTGCGTGAGAAAAGGTTTCTGACTTTGTCAATAGGGGGCGCTGTTTCTTATTAATTTTTCTCATGTAGAATTTTCGGCGTTTTTTTTATCCCAGATTTTCTCATTCCCAAACAAACTGTGGATCGGGGAACAAAGTTTGTTTCGATATGGTACACCATAATCTACATGTCTGTGAAGTTTTGTAAAATTCGGCGAACCAAACCGCGTGACGAGCGAAACTGGCCTCGTCACGGACTAGACTGTCCCCCTTGACTGTTTTTTTTTTTTTTTTTAGTAAGTCACACGGTGGCGCTATTTTAAGATGGCCGCGGAATGCGAATGAGGACCAGGACCGCCTGGAGTGTGTTTGTTGTTGGTTGGTGAGTAAAAACTAGAAGTGGAAATCTTTTGAGGTCTTTAAAAAACATTTCAGAATCTCAGAATATTGACTGGACTTCGCCGCTAGGTATCAGCATCCAGTCTCACTTCACGCCGGTGGTGGCGTGCAGTAACATGAGTAGGCGCGGCTCTAAGGGTAGGCCCCTAGGCTATAGCCTATTCTATTGGACCGGGGGAGAATTCGACCAATGCCAGGCTATTCACAAACCATGGGCATGATGGGTGTGACTAGGGACAGGGTTGATGGCGATTGTGAAGTGTAGGGCCCGGTTCCTAAGGGAACAAAACCCACTTTAAAATTATTGGACCTACCAAACTAGTTGGCGACATTCTTGATAAACAGGTATGTCATATAGGTAGAGGGCAGGGTTTTGAATTTTTGAGGGAAATTCGGGGGTAAAATGACGGTGACAGCGCGACGACAACACTCGACCCGAAAATAAAAATCGCAAGGCACAAACCGCGCAGGAAAATTGTGGGAGTAATTGCAGAATACCCCGCCACTCGGAAATACACCCCTAAAATCACTGGCTACGAGGTTGGAATCACTGCAAAAGAAACAATTCAAGTCCATTGCCAGCTACGCGGATACTGAGTGGGGGTCCATTATTTGAGAACGAAGCAACACAAAATGAATGGGAGTTGCTGAAAAAATTCTAAGTCCAAACCAACCACCCTGTTGGCGGCTACGAGGCTACGGAGTGGGAGTGCCCTTGAATATGCTTGAGAACGAAGCAACACAAAATGAATGGGAGTTGCTGAAAAAAATTCTAAGTCCAAACCAACTACCCTGTTGGCGGCTACGCGGTCACGAAGTGGGAGTGCAATGGAGCATGACGCATAGACATACAAGTAGCGCTGAGAATGTTTATTGAGGTCAATCAGCCGTGACCTCGTAGCCGGCTACGAGGTGGATAGATCGAGTGGCGGGGTATTCTGCAATTGTGCCAAATTGTGATTTCTACCCCAAGAATGTGTTTAAAATTGCAAATCGGGATTCATTTAAATTGAGAAAAGTCTGCTTTTGATTGTGAAGGTGATTTTTGAGCAATAAAATACATTTTTGACTCCAATTTGATCAAAACAAAACAGGGGCCCACCGTCTAGGCAGTGCTGGTTTTCCTTATCCGGTCAAATTCTCCCCCTATCCCATCTGTTTGCCAGTAAGTGGGGGTATATTCGACCGGAGGCAGAATTCCACCAGTCGTTACTAAGCAAAAACCTTGGGTCTGACTAAGGTCGATGCTATGCTGCAAACATGGTAAGTACATGATCATGTCATGAGTAATTATGGTTAAGATCCCACATTCTCATTTACACAAAGCAGTGCCAGTTTTCCTTAAGTGGTCGAATACTCCCCCTTTTACCTAGCTTGAGTAACTCCAGCTGAAAAATTGCTTTAGCCTGCAAAAGTCACTTTGGTACTGGACAGTCATCTGCGAAAGTAAGTTTTGAACAGAACTTGTAAAAAATAGAGGTGTCCTAAACTAGGGTTCCAAATCCTTTTCTATTGAACAACAATGCTACTGTCAATCACTCTTGGTGGTTCACGGGATTTGTGTTGACGGCGTTGCGGTTTGTTTTGTCTGATTTCTTTAACTGTCTGTTTGTCTGGTTTTTTTTGACCTTGGGTTATGATTCACGGTGTTTGTCTTCTATATTGTAGCGTGATTTTCTTTGGTTGCTTTTTTTTTTTGAAATTGTACTTTTTGTTATCAAATTTCATGTTGAATTTACGTAAACGTCTTCCGTCTTCTATAATTATCAAGTTTTGACTTTAATTAAAAAATTATTGTAAGTCATAAAATGCAATTCAATTGTTTTTAAAATTTTCAATGTTTCAATCTACAATGGTGTTAATGTTTTCACTCTTCTATAATTATCAAGCTTTGATTTCAGTTAAAAAACTGTTGTGAGTAATAAAATGCAATTCACTAGTTTTGAAATTTTCAATGTTTCTCAATGTGTTCAGTTTGGCATTGTTTTGGCAGTAATAAAAAAATAAAAAATTTACTCCGCATGAACACTGACCAGTCACGTGGGCTCCATGTTGAGTTCGGCGGGTTGATCAGTCACCAGGCTGCAAGAACGGGAGTGACAACAGCTGGCCGATGAAATCCCGAACTCCGTCGTCGGATGGCACCCCACAGTCCAACTTCGAAGTCCACCACCAGCTCTTGAAGATTTGCAGCACGGGACGGCAGCTTCCTCCGCAGGGCTTTGAGCACCTTCTAATGGTCTTTCTTTGTCCGCCGAGTCATCAAGACAAAGGCCAGCGGAACCTGCTTCATCCCACCGGTGTCTCCCTTGACGGATGCATGAACTGAGAACAGTTGGGTGAAAGGACGTTTCACCAACTTGAAAGTTCCATCCAAGTACCAGGTCTTGGCGCCATCCAGCACATGGAGTTGATCCGGTGTAAAAAACACCACATGGTGAGCACTACCAAGGTGAATGTCTTTCTGGAGGAAGTGTTCGGGGATGAAGCCTTGGTCAATTATAAAGTCAATGTCTCGTGGTTCGGGAGGGCTCTGGTGGTGACGGTTTGCAGCCCGGGACAGGTTGGTTGGATTAGGACAACTTGCAGCGGGTGCGTCAGGTTGAAGATGTGTGGTAATGACATCCTCGACAATGGCCCCTGGTGATTTGAAGATGTCAGTCTTGGCCTTGGTTATCACCAACACCTTCACTTGAACTGCGACGTCTGCCCTGGGATGCGCTGGGTGCGTATGCTTGGTGTGAAGTCCAGCATGAAAAAGGTTGCCATCTTGGTGAACAGACACGGCACACCTGTGCAACTTGCCCCGGACACTACACAGCCATGTGACTTTGGAAGAAGTGGAACCGGCCTTCTTCCACTTCTTCGTGTAGGTGTAGCCGTGACTATCAACCAAGATGACTTTACCCCGTTTCGTGCCGGACTCCACCGTCTTGTAGGTAGTGATGTCCTCATCACCTAGGCCAGGGATTACAGCAGGTAGGGCAGCATCAGGGAGGGGGTTCTCGGCTACTTCAAGTGGTACAACAAAGTCGGTCTCGACGTTGAAACCACCGTCATCGGTAGGGACATCTCTGTTCTCCTCGATGTCCATCGGGTCTTCCTCCTGTTCTTGGTCTTGACTTGTACAGGGTGCACAGATCCAAACTTCCAGCCTGGATGGATCGTCACGGATCTCCAGGTACTGCTGGTGACTAATACCAGAGTTGCAGCCAACATGCTGCCATCCCTGGCAGTGCTCACACTGGAAAGCACGCTGGTTCGCACGAACAGACTTCTTAATACAGAAGAGGCAAAGATACTTGATAGGCATCTTGAGCTTGAAAATTTTTGAATCTTGACTGGAGTGGAATCTTGTCTTGAAACAGAATGAGTAGATTCTGTTCGATGATGCTTTTTATAGACTTCAGAAGGATCCTGAGTATAATTCTAACAACCAATCAGACACGCGGTTCAAGATGTTTTAACCAATGACCACCCTATCTCTTATCAAAGATACCGCTGTATCAATGAGGGGCACCGCGGTGCATGACTGGAGCGGACAGTATTGAAATTGGATCAATGGGTTACCAAGATTGTATGGGTATAGTTGGGGGTTAGGGGTAATGCAAATCCCTTCCCTCACACAAAAGGTTTAGAGCTAAATACAAAACCTTTCAAAAAATTGAATTCTTACTTCATGAAATGGAATCATCAGTTTGTATCGTATCTGAAAATTGGAACGCCATAACTGTAACGGAATCAAAATGACAAGCAAATTTAAAACCCTAAAAAAAAATAAAAAATAAAAAAAAACAAGTCCGGGAGGTTCTTACGTCAATGCACTTTGCCGTGGGGATTTGCCGCGCTAATTGCCGGTCAATGTTCTGGGACTAACAGGCTCTACTTAATATGATGAGTTTGAATTTTATTCCCCCACCCCCTAAAAATGAATACTTACTTCAAACTTCATTGAAGAAAACAAATAAATGGGACAAAATATGTATCTATTAATGTATATATTCTCCAGTTACCCGGGTTTTCAAGGGGATAAGGCTTTTCCTTTGAAATGAAATAAAAACTATGTAGATACGATAGATTTTAAAATGGTTTATTGTGTTATTCCAGTGTTATATTCTTTCAATATGAGTTTTAAAAATTCAAAAAGGGAAAACAATCTTTAAGGGCGAATCGGAAGATGATTACGTTCATAAAAACGGGAACCAAATGTGTTTTCCCAGGGATTTTTCGCCGCTAGAAGGCCCACATTCGGTAGCTACTGTGCGTGAATGCCACCGCAATAAATCCGCATTGGTCGAGACTTCATCAGTTTTAATACAAATTCTGAGGCAGAATGATTGACAGTGAAACAGACGGCCAGTTATGTAGGACGCAATCTTAATCCCTGGGAACTTGATACATCTCTATGATGATGCCGCGCGTCGGCGACGTCACAGGAGCGGGTTTGCATGACTGGCTTAATCTCCTTTGTGCATCATAATGGACTGGGTACGAAACGGCTTGGGTACGAAATGACTTGGGTACGAAACGACCTGCTTTGTTGTAGTTCTCACAACACGAGCGAAAGCCCTACATAATGAACATGATGAAAGCTCGATCCTGATTGGCTGGTAAAAAAAAAAATAAGATGTTTATTTTTTATCAGCCAATCAGCATTGAGCTTTCATTGCATCGAGCTTTTACGTTTGCCATCTTGGTTTTTGAGTCTGTTTTCTAGTTGTCACCATTGTCTGAAAAATCCCTCATAAATCAAAGCCCTGCACTCTTTCCACAAAATTAAACCTGCTGATATTCAAGAAGGTGTCACTGCCAATTGTTCAGATGTGTCAAGAAATATCAGAATGTCAATTTTGAGTGTCATTTACCATGTTTACTCAACTGTTTTGGTGAATCTTTACCTTCCTATATAGGAACGGGGTCCTAAAAGCAAGGATTACCGTGTTTAGCGTAGCCGTGGTGGCGTATCGTCCGGGCAGCTATAACGACGCACTTATGTAATGACATACTCACCTTTCACTTTGAATAGCGCTGCGTGCGCTTGCTGATGCGACAAGCACTCACTTGCAATCTGGATAGTCACACTTGAATGAGCACTCACTCACATAAAAATGAGGAAAGTCATGGTTTGGCTGGCAACTTATTATTATTCATGGTTTATTAAAAACATTTTCCATCGCAGCCAAAGGCTGAATTAGGGAAAACAATACATTTGTTCAATTTACATAAAAAGTAGAATAGACTTAATATAAAACGACCAAAAATTAGCAAACAGCGTTAGACACAAAAAAATTAAGAAGAGCGAGCCAAGCATACAATTATGAAAATATGTAGTTATACGTTCAGTAAAAAAAAAAAGAAGGTTATTAGTAAAAAGAGATATCAAAAGATTAAAAAAAAATAATAATACTGAAAGAGTAGGACTAAACTAATCTGTGATTTTATTAGCTAATTTACTAGATACAAAAATTGCAGGGCATACATTGCCCATAAAATTGCAATCATTGACCGTGAGAGATTTTGAAAGCAGCCCTCTGCTAGCCAATATCCCAGCAAGCCATGTCATATGATAACGTAATGCGTTATGGGTTTATTGATTTAGTAGGGAGCCCCTAGTACTAGCACATAATTCTTATCATTATGTGGGTGTAAAAACATTTCTTAATGTTAATGTTAGGCAGATTAAGGCCTATGCTCTAATAAGTGAATTAATCTAGGGAATGGGTGCAATAAGGTGTACATGTACTAATATGTTATCGTGATTTACGGTCAATTTATAAATAAACTGTTTTTTTTTTTTTTTACAACTGACTTACAGCTTATTGTAATTGGGGCGCAGTAAACACCTAAAATAATTGACAGCCTTTGGGTTGGGGGTTTAGGGTCTGTTTTATGGACTGAGATTAACCTAGGTATAAATATAAAAAAACAAAAACCCCAAAAACCTGATCATTCAGCATGACCCGATGCAACGGCATCGGGTCATGTGCACTGCCTTATTTGTTAATGTGGGTTGGAATTTTCTCCTCATTAGTTACCGGATTAGGGCCTGCCACAAAACAAATGAACAGAAAATGAAAGATGATGAAAACAGCTTGAATTTGACTTGAGAAGTTGGGATTTATCACTGAGGTCCGTGGTAGTTGCTGATCTGTGCTGCACGGTCTGCCATTTATGCCAGAACTACTGTGTGAAACTATGTGCCGCATGCATGTGAACAACGATAACATTGTGATAATTAGCTCAGCAAACAAAAACGGGGAAAAAAATGAGCGGGCTGTCTGCAAACTGGGCTTAAATTAGGCACCTTACTTGGGAGACTTGAATTGAAGTTCTGAGAAATCCCCCCCCCCCCAAAAAAAAACCCCCAAAAAAAAATTGCTTGCAATAATTATGTCAATGTAAAAATTCTTTCCAATAATTTAGGAATTTCCTTTATTTTTGTCAAGTCTCCAACATCAGGCAACCTGTCACTAATTAGGCCAATTTAAACAGACACCTCTTTTTTCCCCATTTTTGTTTGCCGAGCTAACTTTCACAACGTTATCATCGTTCACATGATTTTCCATAAGGTTTAATAGGTTAACTTTGCCAGTAAGCAACTTGGTGAATTCGAAGCTCATCGATGAAGTTTGGCAAGACTACTTGAAGATATCTGGAGACAAGGTACATTGTAAATGAGGGCAACTTTTGGGTGTACTATAGTAGCCATTTTGGATCACTACTTTGTCCTCATAATTATTCAGTCAATTATATGCTTTAGAAAATGTTATTGAAGTCAAGATGTGAAAGTAAATTACCAACAAAAAATGTTAAAAAAACCCCAAACATGTAATATACCCAAATATGGGGGAAATATATTACAAGGCAGGTATTAACGATTTATGCAAATAAGGTATATTAAGGGTCAAAATTAACAACGGTATCCACTAGGCCTGGGGGACTAGTGAATTTCAATAGACGCGACTAGTTGCCGTAAATAGTCACGACTAGTGGACTAGTCACGACTACTGTAATTTTCGGAATATAAGCCGCGGCTTATACAGTACATTCAATTTACCCATGAAAATGTCTACTGTGGCTTATACACAGGGCGGCGTATATACCAAGCCTTGAAGAATAACATGAGATTCAAATGTGTATTTAATGAACTGGTATAAGAAAAGATCTGTTGGTGAAATTAATTATCAATTAAGAAAGTCATTAACAAACCGAAAGCACGTCCCCAAAAATATAGGCCAGCCGACCATGCGGGAGTGAAAAACATTTCTTTATTCAATAATTAGTTGTTCAAAATCACAATATAATATTTTTCTTGAAATGTATTCAAGAAACGATGTAAAACTCAAAAAAGGGGCTAAATCACCCCTAATGAAATTAATGGATTCGTCTATAAATATGTCAGCATTGTGTTGACTGTTTTATCGAAGAATTTTTGACCTTACTACTCGTTAAGAATCACAACAATCTGATAAGTTTTGTTGTAAAAACGGACCTTTTTTATTCTTAGGACAAAACAAATCAGCATC